TTTTCATCGTATAATGACCGACTCTGACTAGTTGCTATTTCCCAAAAGGTAGTCGCCCCCTCATCTCCCTCTTAGCACTTCCCGTGTTTGGTTTCTCCATAAAGCAAAGCTCCGAGCGAGAAAGGAATGCGAACCGGGATCGAAAGTCGAAATTTGAACGCGCTGCTGCCACTCGTCCCCGTCGGCCACAGAGGCGCAAAACTTTTTTGACATTTTCAAAACAACTAAAGCTGTGCTTGTGGAAATGGTTCAAAGGTCGGCAGTGTGAAGAGATTGAGTTTGCCTGCATTTCTCTGCCGAGCTACTGACCGAAGACCCCTAAACTACTGATTGACAATAGTTATGGTTCATAAAGTCCGCCACCTTGGACAGCCTCTTGTTCCAGTGCAATTTGGCGGTGGCTACGATGATTCAGCTACAAAAAAACCTAGTGCGATTGGCAATGAGCAGTTTTAGTTTATGAATGGTCAAACTCTTCAAACTCAAAAACAATTCTAAGTTAAAATGTTGCTTATACGTCAGCAGTGATCTAAAGCGATTTGATAAAGTTGATGAGGCCATTAGTGGAGACGTCATGCGATGTGATAGTTCCCGCTGATGCGAGCTCTGGTTGAATAGCCTTCGCTAATTGTTTTCCAAGTTCAACACTGAAAAAGAGCAGTATAAACGCAAGATTTGAAAATTAGGAAACGCTCACCCCCATTGGTCGTAACTGTTGATATCCCAAATGACTCCTTGAACAAAGATTTTATGTTCGTAAAGAGCAATTAATAGGCCAAGAGTGAAAGGAGTAACAACGGGAAGCACAATTGAAGTAGTTGGACGATTTCCTTCGAAGACCTAGAATGATAATTGCAAAAAGTTGAAAAGAAGATTTCATGAACCTTAAAATCCAGCCAGGCAAAAAACTGCTGGAAATTTGAAAGAAACTGCCTAGAAGCCAAATCTTGTACGACTGTTTTAGCGATATAAAAAATTGCTTCAGAATAAGAATCTTGAAAATTACTTTGTGTGGAAGAATTCTTTCAATTTTTTCGGGTGGAGTATTTGCAGCTCTCAGTTCCGCCTCTGCCTCTTTTCGGCTTTTACCTTTCATGAGAGCCTCTGTTTGAGCCAAGAAATTTGCAAGAAGGATCTAAATACAGTAGTAAATTGGCTAAGAAAGATATGATTCAGAAAAGGAAGAGTTACAAATTTGCGTACTTGATGGTGCAGACCATTACGAACAGGGTTTAATGTTTTGGCAGGAGCAATAAAATCACAAGGAATCAGCCTAGTTCCTTGGTGAATCAACTGATAAAATGCATGCTGACCATTGGTGCCTGGCTCACCCCACACTATGGGCCCAGTAGAATAGTCAACACGATTGCCTTCTCTGAAATGCTATGTAGGGAAAACAACTGAAATGTAAGTTATGCAATATCCCG